ACACACACACACACACACACACACACACACACACACACACACACACACACACACATCAAATCATTACAAATACTGGCATTCTGTCATATCCAATGTGACAAATTAAGTGCCAGGTTCCACATTTTGTTGCTGACCCAATCACATAGAGATCTGTGGGGGGTTGGACATCCAGCTGCAGCAAAGAGCTGACATCTTCAGGAGGCTCTGCCGTGGCCACGTTCCAGGTCACCATGTGCAGCCTGGAAGTGTGTGTTTTTGGTTAATGACAGTAATTAATCAAAGTGATGGAAATACAGAAAATACAAACAAATATCAGTTACATAGATCACATTCCCTTGAAATTGTAATCACAATTGTCTGAATATTTCCATAACTTGTAAAAATAAATTTTTGATATCCACATTTTTCAAAATCAACCTGAATGCGTCAGTGGGAATGTAGCTTCCACAGAGCTGAAACGCCTCGTCCAGTGAGCGGGACACTTCCTCGCTGGCCTCATCGTCAGAGCTCAGGTCCTCGATGCAGGTCAGCAGCTGGGCCAGACGCTGGCGGAGGAGCACCTTGGACCTCGAGCCTTGAGATGCAGAGCTGCTCATGCTGTCTGAGCGCAAACGAGGGCTGCCTGTCAAGGGGTCCATCTTTGGATATTAGACTGAAAATAAGGTCTTCCTGATGTGAGCTCTGTCCTAAAAGTTATTTGAGATTCTTCAAATAAAAACGTTAAATTGGAAATGAGCAGCGTCCAGGAAACAAAACGCTCTTGGCTTGATTCCTACTCAGACTCTAGTTGGTTTGTTTGCAGCCATTTGATGAGAGAGGCCTTCGTTCTGCTCAGACCAGTGGAAGTAACGTGAATCGTTTCCCCCTGTTCTTCAAATCTCTCTGCAGGTGCTTCAGGCAGCTTCTGCTTCAGGTCCTCCAAACTGACCAGGATGAAAAAAACTCTGTGCCTCTGTGTTGGTGTAATCCTTTCTGTGGCAGAGTCCGGTGTGATCAGGCAGCGATGGAGCAACGATTCACAAAGCAGTGGGGTCGACTCAGGAATGTGGGCAAGAACGAGACCGATTTGGATCATAATCGCTGGCATGTGAATGTGTTTGTCCGTGAGTCACAGGGGAGCAGAAAAGGAGGACCAGGGGCTGATCCTCCATCCTTGCGGGTATTGTTGCAAGACTTGAGCAACCGTTCAGATCTCTAAGAGGTTTACTCAACCAGCGTTCTCCCCATCAGCTGAGTACACTTACCACTGCTCCGCAGTTACAGCCGTGCATTAGTGACGGGACATCAGTACACAATAGCATTAGCTTCTTTTGGCCTCAATCCAGCCCCTCCACATTTAGGTGAAAGGTTATCTTTGTAAACCCAGATTGAGGTGGGGGTTAAATGGAAATGATGTGGCTTTGGCTTTAATAGCTTCGTCTAATTTCAATGTTGCAGCACAGTTGATAGTGGACAAATTTACATAATGGATTTAGAAGGTCATAATACATGAAGCAATCTGTGACTCTGAATTTCACATAGATTTATATTTAGATGCTTTTTGATTTCAAAACCATGAATGTGGATAATACTTTCAACTAGGTGAGACGTTAAGTTTCAGAGTTAAGTAGCCAGAATTAGAGAATGTGTTACTCTGTGAACAATGACTGGGATTAGATACTGCGAGAAAGTTCAATCAAGGCTCTGACTCTTTATAGACTTGATAAATTATTAATTTTAATGTGACCTTTTATTTTGGGATTAAATTCCTTATTTATTTTCTGGCAAACTTGCTGCCATCAATGATTTACATATTAAGACAAATTTATTTTGCCTTAAAACACTGAACATTTGATTCTGACACTATGCACTGAATCACACAGCAATTATATTTCTTTATTTAAGGACTGCATCATTAAATGAAATTCCTGAAGGCATTTAACCAATTAAATTTTAAAACATATTTATATGAGTAATCAATGTCTGTGTTTTAAGTTTGGTGGACAATACTGTATGATGAAAAAGAAAAGAGAGGTGGAAATGGGCTTGGGGAAAATTACCCCTTAATCTTGGGTGCCCCAGTTCTCCCTGTTACATCATGTAACAGTGTCACATGAAGAGAATTAGGACACATTCTTTAGCGAGCAGAAGTGTTAAGTGGAGACGGGGGTTCACTGGTCCAGTGAGAAATGATGAAGGGAGACTGTTTCAGATTTATCACAGAGCCCGGAAAATACTATATTTGGCTTAAATTTGTACTGGTTAGGCAACTACAGGAGGGTCCAACCTTTTTTTTCTGGACTCACATGCAACTCGTTCTGTGGTTATACAATTACTTTCGTTGCCATTTTCTCTCTGTTGTTTCTAGACATAGAAGAAAAAGAGATCTAAATGGGAGAAAAGGTGAATGTTGATCTTACCTGCACTTGTCTCTCCCACCACTTCGAAATCTTCCAGTGCTCATTTCCTCCCCTGCAGATACACAGACACACACATACACACATGCCCAAACAAATTGAGAACAAACAGGACACACGAGGACAATAATAGAGCCTGAGCCCAATAAATTAAGACAAAAGCCAAACCTGACCGGGATGCCTGAAAGCCATTTCTGAAATGGTTTTGTAATCATGTCAAATCACGCTTTACTTCCTCCATGTGAGAGTGACCTGAAGGTCACATGTAAAAGCACATTACTTTAAGAGCCATCTCTACACAGATTTAGTGATAGTGGAAGAAAAGGTTCCTGATGTATTAAAGAAAATTTTTTTAATACTTTTTTATATCTCCATAACAGATTTTTGGCTGTGGGGTCATACAGCATATTGGCCAAAAAACAAAAGGTCTCAGAGAAAAAGAGCAAATAAAAGGGAGAACACTTCAGAGTATCAATATATAATGTTCATTTAAATATATATTTTTAAATGCTTCAATTGAAATCCACATTAGAAAAGCCTGTATGTTGAGGCCTTTGCATCACAGTTTTGACAATTTTGATTAATTTCCAACAGGCGCATGCAAACACAACGGTTAAAGTTGCATTAATTGGTGTTTTGACCACTTGGGGGCAGCATAGCAAGCTGCAAACAGTAACAGTAGACACATTAACAACATTGACATAAACTAATGTTTCACTCACAGTCACACAGTCCCTCACCTCAGTTCTGTTTATGTCCCCATAAAATGAACCTGTGGCTCTTTAGCTGCTAAATGTTTCACTATGTTTGCAAGCTAACAAGTCGCTAAGGCTAACATATTTATTGACATATTGATGTCACAGTCAATATAAACATTGGTAAAGTTTTAGCTGAGCTGATATTTGCAGAAACCTCATAACCTGAAGTTTAGCGCCACAATGGGACCAGTTTTTGGGGACACACCGTCAAAAGATGAGTGACTGTTAATAGGGTTTGTCTACACACGCACACACTCACACACACACACACTTGTAAAGACAACGTTTTCTGGAGAGGATTCTATATAGGCTGGCATCTTTTGGTTATCAAAGTTACACAATGGTTCCAATCATTTTGCTGAAATGTAACCTATCAGTTTCTCTAAATGTTGGATTTTTTTCTTAAATCAATTGATTGTCCAGTCTTAAAAACTTCTTCTTCGTTCTTCGACCCTGATGGACAGTCCTACCTGTTTATGATTCATACGTTCTCAACAGAAGTCCTCTTATGTGACATTAAATCTTGCTGAAAATAACCCCCCACCACCATCCATCCAGTACCTTTAGCTGTGTCTCTCTCTTGTGGTGTCTGGAAGAAGCTGCAGACCCCTTGGGCACAGATGACGAAGATCTCCAAAGGGGAGTCGAGAGACTGGATCTGCTTTCCGACGGTGAGCCCCGTTGTTTGACTGTTTCTTCTCTTCTCGGTTGCCTTTACTTTGCGCTCAGCTGTTCCCCTCCTGGGTGCAAGGTCCCACACACAACCTGCTCTGGACTTAAAGCGGAACATCGGATCAAGCTTATTATCCCAGGTTGGCTAACAATCCAGTGAGAAAGTATTATCTCATTCATGAATGGACATGTCTGTTTATTGAATGTCACCATGACGCATGGCGTTTGTTGCATTAAAGCCCTCTTTGTATGTTCATAAATAATCCCTAACTTTCTCAACATATATGGAATGTTTGGTGCTCTTCAACACTCTGTGTGCCATTTCAATGTTAATACAATAAAACCTAGACTTTCTCTTAAAGGGCAATGATTCTGGACAATTCAGTCATGGATTAATAATAAATATTAGGTTTGTACATCTAACATTGCATGCTGGGAGAGCTGTTAAAATGCTAGTGTTGTTTTAACAACATAATTCATTGAGTTTAGCAAAGATTGAGAAAAAAGACCTCAAGTCAGAAGAGGTGATGTTTATAAATGCTGGAGTGGTGTAAAAAGGAAAAAGATTACACATTTGAATGGGCCTTTAAAAATGAGAAACAGTTAATTGATTCCATAAAATGTCTGTATGACTATATTTCTATATGTTTCTGCAATACGCTGGCAACCTGTCCAGGGTGTGCCTGGTCTCGACAATCAGAGACACTCACTTTTACACAAAAAGACATTTGAATGTTGCAAATCAACCTAAACTGGATGTGTTTACACTCGGAGAAAACACACGCATACATGGGAATATGAAAAAAAAAAAAAATCCACACAGAAAAGCTCAGACTCTGAACTTTGTTGCTGTTAGACAGTGCCCCACGACATAAAATCTGTCCTTTAGCATATAGTTTAATGACATATTTGTTAAATATTAAATACATATAGCTTGGAGAAATAAGAAAGAACACAATGCTTTGAGTCCTAAAGGTTATGAAACGTCTGCTTAATCAGCACTTTTTTAACATAATGTTTCATAAATATTTTTTGTTGAAAAGATTTCCTTTCAAACACCCACAAACTGCTTAGTCTCATCAACGTCCCCCTAAACATGCTGCAGTTCTCGGTCTTGGCTCCTCTTCTGCCTCATAATCAGGATTTAAAGTAATCTTTGCCATCCAAAGCCTGATTAATTTTACCCTGCCTATACTGTGTGTGTGTGTGTGTGTGGGTGCATATAGCAGCT